TCCAGGCTGTGTCCGATGAGGATGGTGTCGGCGCTGAACATGCTCAGCAGGACGGCCTGGACGTCGCGCAGCGTGACACTCGTGTCGGCGAGGTCAGCCTCCGTCACGCCCGAAAACCTGCGGGAGCGGGCAGGAGGGCGCCAGGGCTCAGCCTGGAAGCGCAGGCTGGTGGGCTTCGAGGAGGGGTCCTGGTGGGGGGGGGCACGGGGGCGCGGGCCACACCTGGTGTTGTAGTCCACAATCGCGTTGTCCGGCTTCACGAAGGTGTCGTAAACCACGTGCACATCCGTGTCCACCACCGTGACGCGCGTCAGCTCCAGCCCGTACGTCGTGTAGGACTGCGGGCAAGGGACCAGCCTCAGACGCACTCCGGGCACCAGCCTCCCTCCTCCCCTCCCTTGCCCTGCTTGGGGTCTGCAGAGCCCAGCAAAGCAGAGGCATGGCTCCCACCTGCAGACATGGACACTGTGGCCAGAGACTCTGTGGGGCGTCTGGGAGACGCAGGGTGAGGTGTGGCTTCAGCAACCCCGTCCCCAAGCCCTCCTGCCTCCCGTTCACATGCAGAGCCGGGCCCACAGCCCAGTGGGCTTCAAGGTACCGGGAAGGATGGGGCACTGGGCCAGGGCAGGGGCTGTGAGTGCCGGTGCTGTGGGAGAAGCCCTCTGAGCCAGGCCAGCTCCTCCCCGACCTTAAACCTGAGGCTGGGCAGAGAACAGCCTCACCATCTCGCAGTCCAGGGCGTAGATCCCCGGGTGGGCATCGCCGGAGAGTTCTTTCTCAAAGGTCTTCACGAAGCCCTCGAGGCGCTCCTTCCGGCCGTCCTGCACGTGTTGCTGGGGGTGGAGAAGGCAGATGAGGGCGGCTTCGGGGCACAGTGGGGGCGGGGTGGTGGTGGTGGCACATCTCTGAGCCCTTTGGGATGATCCTATCCATCCATCAAGCCCGTTCACTTCCTCGGACCCTGGTGAGCAGGTGGGGAAAAGGGCTTGCCAAGAAGACACAGGAGGGCGGCTTCCCAGGACAGAAGTGGCCAGCGACAGGGCCTGGGGTCTAAAGTGCTGCGCTCTCTGGTTGACACAGGAAATGCTGCCCCTCGGGTCTGTTGTGTCCCGTGATCACTGAAGGGGAGGCGGAAGTCTGTGGAGAACAGGCGCCAAGACGCCAGGGCTCACCTTGGCAACCTGGCAGCCGACAGAGCCGGCGGCAGCCGAGCAGCACATGTACTGGGCCTCCCAGCCTCCGGCCACTGCAGGGGACACGGACACACGGTCAGGGTCCAGCCAGGCCCGCCCTGCAGCCCTGGGAGCACTGACTGCCCACACCTGCTGAGCACTACTAGGGAGTGGGGACTCAGGGCAGGCGGCCTCAGCCTCTTGGCAGAGCTGGAAACAGATCAGGCCCAGGCCAGTCTGGCAGCCAGGATGCCCAGCCCGGATCCCGGGAGCCAGTGGGCTCTGCCGAGGCCTCTTGGGCAGTGCCGCCTCCAACAGGATCCCCCAGATGCCCCCAAGGCGATGGCTTTAGGGGCCACCGCAGGACTGTGCCAGGCTGGCTTGTGTGCCCTGAGCGTGGCCGCCTGGGGGATTGAATGGAACTGGCAGGCCAAGGGTGGGACGAACCCTCTACTCACAGGGCCAGCAGCCTCCACATTTCCACAGACCAAGGGCGCAGGGAGGCAGGGGCACAAGGCTTTTCAGGTGGGGGTATGTGAACGTTGTCATGGGAAGGCTCGTGTCTTACTTTTTATAAAGAACAAGTGGAGAGAAAACGAGGCCAGGGCCAGGCCGGGCTCTGCCCTCAACAGTGCAGCCCAGGGGCCTCGGGTGGGGCAGAGGACGGCAGAATAAGGCCCTACCCAGGTTCCAGGGGCCTCGGGTGGACGGGGGCGGGTCCGGGTTAAGCCTTACCCCGGTTCTGGGGGCCTCGGGTGGACGGGGGCGGGTCCGGGTTAAGCCTTACCCCGGTTCTGGGGGCCTCGAGTGGACGGGGGCGGGTCCGGGTTAAGGCTTACCCCGGTTCTGGGGGCCTGGGGTGAATGGGGGCGGGTCTGGGTTAAGCCTTACCCCGGCTCCGGCGCAGCCGTCCCCAGTGGTAGTAACACTCCTCATCACGGACACAGCGGCCCGAGGAGGACACGAGGTACTCGGTGCCACAGCGGCAGCAGGTCCTGCAGGAAGCTGTGGGTGGGGACCCGGGTGGAAGCTGAGGATTGCGCTGGTGTCCCAGAGCCTGGCCTTGCCCACGTCCTGCACCCGCCCGCCTAAGCTGATACAGGCCAGCGACTCACAGTCCTTGGGCCTCTTCTCCTCGGCTGTGAAGATGACGGCGCCCCCGGGCCGCTCTGGGTGTGGGAAAGGGTAGCCATTCTCCTTGAGCTGGTCCTGGGTGAGCAGGTACTCCTTGAGGCGGCTGTATAGTGCGGCCCCTGCGGATAGGCATGGTGCTCAGCCCCTGACCAGGACGGCCCACATGACGGTGGACACCACCAGAAAAGGTAGCCGGGCCAGCAGTGGCCCACAAGGCACCGTGTGGCAGAGCAGGGGCGAAGCTGGCCTCACCTTTCAGGTCCTCCACCCGGGGGCTGCTTGGGCGGCTGAGCGAGAAGCTGGTCTTGGCGGCCAACCTGCCCCCCAACACCACCTCGTGGGACACAACCCTGCGGCCACTGGTTTCTGCAAGGTGGGCAGGAGGAGGGTGAACTAGCAGGCTCAGATCCTACCCGCTCTCACCCACCCTGCCCTCCTCAGAGCTCCGCCTCAGCTCCCCGGGCTCCATCCTAACCCCAACAGGAGAGGCAGACGCAGGCTGGGCAGAGGAACGCAGGGCTGCCCCCAGCTCTGTAGGCCCCTGAGCTGCACAGAGGCCCCGCATCTGAAGCTTTCACCCCACCCGCTCAAGCGAAGGGGGAAGGGCCGGGAGAACAGCACTCCAGATGTAAAATGGCTTTCGAGAGCTCTCAGCCTTCACAGGCCACCCAGCCTGCAGCCTGCAAAGTCAACCCAGGGCCCCTCAGAGCACTAATGGAGGCGGGGACGGGGGCGGGGCCCCCTTAATGCACCCTTGAGAGGCTGGAATGAAACGCCCACGTCTCCGCTTTCTTCCTCCCCAGAGCTTAATGCACTGTGCCCCCGGCCCTGGGCCTCCTGCTTTGAAGAGGCTGCCGCGGCTCCATTAGCAGGCTGCCCCTCGGCGCGGAGGCCCAGCTTGGCAAAGGAGGGCGGCTGACAAGGACACCAGGGCCAGGCCCGTCCGAGACAGAAGCCTGGGAGCCCGGGAGCCCAGGAGCAGGCCCCGCAGCACCCACGGGTTCCTTTTGTCTGAGATTGTCCCAGCCCAGCTGCCAGCCCAAGAGCGCCCCGAGCCTCCCCTCCCCAGGTGTTGGGACTCACTGCTGAGGCTGGACACGGCGCTGGGGGCCAGGCCCCTGAGCTTCTTAAGCGTGTTCACGGCCACATTCAGATAGATGCCCTTGCTGGGGCTGCGATCATAGGCCACCTTCTCCTCGTTCAGCGCCTGCGGAGACGCAGTGCCAGCTGAGCCCGTGCCTGCCCGTACCAGGAGCAGCGGTAGGGTCGCCATGGGACCCAGGGACCCGCATCTCTCCCAGGCAGCTCCGGGTCGCAGCCGCGGCTGACGCCGATGGGGGATGTCTGAGGGCCTGCCTGGACCCCCCAGTGCCCCCCCCAGCTGGCCAGACAGAAACTCGGGGACCCCACCTTCTCTATGGCCTCCTGGTTGGATGTACAGAACTTGAGACACTCCTCGATGAACAGGTTGAGATAGCGCTGGCGGATGACGGTGGGGACTTTGCCCCCAAATTCTTTGGGGATAATGGGTTTCTTTAAACTCTAGAGGGAAGGCAGAAGCAGTCGTGGGTGAGGGCCTCCCTCGGGGAACGCAGACGCGACACGGCCGTGACCACGGCTGGAGGCAATAGTGAGGTGCGCTGCGACAGATCGGCCTGGGTTCCAGGAGGGACACACACCAAGGCCGGACGAGGGCAGTAGGGGAGACTGCGGGCAGGGGCCACACGGGGGCAGGGGCCACACGGGAACTGCCATACTTTCCTGCTCAGTTTTCCTAGAAATCTAAAATTGCCTGAAAAACATAGTCTATTAATTAAAAACAAAAGAAGGCCACCATGCCTATAATCCTAGCACTTTGGGAGGCTGAGTCAGGAGGATCAGTTGAGGCCAGTTCGAGATCAGTCTGGGCAATGTAGCAAAACCCTGTCTACAAAATAAAAAAATGATTAGCTGGGTGTGGCAGCAGCAGCTTGTGGGCCCAGCTACTCGGGAGGGTAAGGTGGAAGGATCGCTTGAGCCCAGGAGGTCGAGGCTGCAGTGACCTGTGACTGTGCCACTGCACTCCAGCATGGGCGACAGAGATTCTGCCTCTCAAAACAAACAAACAAACAACAAATAAAAAGGCAAAACGAGACAAAACCCACAGGGTGGCAGGAGGGGAGGGTGAAGGCTGTGCTGTAGTTTGGGGTGCACAGGTCCACAGGGCAGGGGCAAGGCCCGGGTGGGGCCAGGAGGGGCTGGGCCACCGTGAGGCTGGCCTCGGGGGTGGTGGTTCTGGCTGGGATGGAAGGGGCTACCTGTAAGGATGGACTGTGGGCGATTCGCTTAGGGGTGATGGTGGTGGTGGTCTTGGACGCCATCCCCGACAACGTGCGCGTCTTCAGCGGCTGGCCACCAGGCTCGGGGCCGTTGGAGGGTTGGCTGCCGCTGGCCGAGAGGGTCCTCTTGGGACCTGTGGGGGCTGGCGGGGCACAGGGGGTGTGGGCACAGGGCGAGCGGCCACCCGTCACCGCATGATGGAGCACCAGGCAGCCGCGGCCACTCAGTGCCAACAGCATGTGCATCTCCACGCACAGGGGGCCGGGCAGGGGCGTGGCGCTGGGGCTGGGGCTGGGGCTGGCGCTGGGGCTGGCGCTGGGGCTGGGGCTGGCGCTGGGGCTGGGGCTGGGGCTGGCGCTGGGGCTGGGGCTGGCGCTGCGCAACGGCATTAGGCTCTAGCTGCCTTCAGGCAAGTACATCAAGGCCGGGGACACACGTCGCCGGTGGGGCGGTCCAGGCCTCTGCCACATGTTCCAACCCCAAGCCCGAGGCATCGATGTCTCAGAGAAGGGCCCTGACTCCCAGAGGACAGGAGGGTCCCCCACCTGCTCATTGTGACCAGCGGCCTGCCCTTCCCTGGGCCTCTGTGTTCTGCCTGGCCCTTTAATGAGGTCACAAACCAAACCCTCCACCCAGAGGGAAGAGGCCAGGCTGTTTCCGGGGGCTGGCCAGGTGGGCAGCTGCAGTCTGGGCATGTGCGTCTGTGTGGCACAGGGGCTTCTGGACCGGGGATTCGGTGCCAACCCAGGGAGGAGAACTGTGGGTGGGGACATCTGGCCCTAGTCTCAGAGTGACATCCCTCGAACCCCATCTGGCCCCAGAAGGGTGCTCGTGAGGCAGGCTGAGTCTGCTGGTCCTGCCACAGGCTGCCCAGGAGGACCACACCTCTCACAGTGGAAGGTTTGCTCTTCAGGAAGTCCCGACAAAGACCCTCCAGGCTCCCTCGGCCACACCCTGGGCGAGCGCAGGCGGCCATAAGAGTCCTCCCAGGCCAGCTGAGCCTGCCCTGCAGCACTGGCAGCGCTTGGGACCAGACTCCCTTCAGGCTGCAAGCCCTGTGGGTACTGCGACAGCTCAGCACCCACCACACATCAGCAACGGGATAACCGTGAGTGTGAGACAGACGGGAACCGAGTGTGGTGCTGGGATCAGCGCAACTCATGAGCTCCTTTCCCTGCAGCTGACGTCTCAGCCGTGAGGGGCCTGGGGAAGGGAGGTCGGACATGCCTGGAGAGCTCTAACGAGGGCCTCAGCCCGCGTCCAGCACAGGAGGGCCGTGGGACCCGTGGGGTCTGCAGGGGACTCGGGGGGCTGGCCCTCCAGCCTTCTGGCCAGTGCCAGGGAGGCAGGGGCTCCAAACCACCAAGCTGCTCCCTGCACAGCAGCCATGCCCTCCAAGGGAACTTGCAAGACACGCAGGGGGCCATTCCCAGCCCCCAGACCAGATCCTGCATTGTTAGGCGCTTTGTGGGGGACCCTCATCTGTGGCCTGCCTCCAGGGACATTTCCTCACTCTGCAGATACCACTGAGGTGAAGATGCAGAAGGCAGGACAGCCGCCATGAAGGGTCCTGTCCACTGGCCACTAAGGCCTGGCCCGACTTTCCACAAGACCCGGCGGGGATGCCCCTAGGAGTGGAGGTAACACAGCCCTGCCGCTGCACAGTGGGTGCTCATTTCAATCTGAGGTCACGCCCCCACACTCGTAAGCCAGGTAGAAAGCCACACTACCCTGACATGGCTCCTGACTCCCTGGCAGCACAGGCTCAAGCCCGGGGCCTGGTTCAGGCCAGTCCCCACCAGGCTGGACCCCCAGTGACCCCGGGGCCAAGTCAGGGCAGGAAGGTGCTGGGCCAGGCACCCTGTAATGCTCAACAGGCCCCATTTCACAGAGAGCCCCAAGGAGGGGGCCGAAGGTCACCCTGTGAGCGTGTGCCACGTGGTTCAGGTGAGCTGAGACCTCAGAGTGCCACCTCTCCTGCCCACATGCCCACGGCTCCCCAGCACAGGCCTCCTGGGCTGGGACTCACCCGTAGCCAAGAGGGGATTGGGGACGTGAGCGATCCTCCTCTTCTCACCGGGGGCGGAGATGTGGACGGAAGACGGCTTCTCCAGCCTAGGGGCGGCCTGCAGCAGGCTCACCGATGCCCTCTGTGCCTGCTGCGTCCGCAGGTAGCACACCTCCTGCGCTGTCGGGGGCCGGGTCGGGGGCACCGCGGGACTCCTCCTCGGGGGCTCTGCCTGTGTCACCACAAATACTGAGGCCTGGCAGCACACCTGGGTACCTGGGGCAGGTGGCCCCGGGGAAGGCGTGGGGCGGGGAAAGGAGCTCGGAAGCCAGGGGCACCACCTGCCTGGCCACCTTCTGAGCTGCTGGCCTCCCTGGGGGGAAGCAGCACAGGGCAGTGGCCTCAATGCCATGTGGCTCCCGGCCCCCCCACTCCCAGTGTCTCCAGGTGCCCAGGCTGTGTCCTCAGCTCTGATAAGGCATGGTGGGTGGGACTACACAATTAGACTGGCACTCCAATCCAATCCCACTAACCCTCATCTTTCCCAAAGCCCTTCCTCTAGGGAGGCTCTGGTGACTGGATCAGCTGGACTCCTGGCTGCTGGCCTCGGAGCCAGACTCTGCTTTTCCTTCACTACCTCACAGCTCCTGCACAGGGGCCTGACGAGCCTGCTGTCTCCGGGCTAGAGGAGGGAACTGGGGCTCAGAGCTGGACAAGGGGCCCAGGCCCAGGCCGCACACGGCGCAGCAGGAAGTCTGTGGCTCTCCGCGGGCGGTCACCCTGGGGCTCCGTACTATGGACAATCATCATCCAGCAGGGAGTGGGCAGGTGCCAGTTCTCTCTGGGACTCAGGCAGTGTCAAATATGAGGGGTCTTCAAAAAGCCCACGGAGAACGTGCACTGTGACGGAACTGTGCGTGGGTTTCAAACTTTTCTGCACCACAATAAACTGATACTAACGTGTCCGAGCGTGCCTGAACCACAGAGTCTGCGGCACTAAGGAGTGTAAGACGTCAGTCAGAAAAGGGCCCAGTCACAGCCCCAGGAGTTCCGCTACAACCAGGCAAATGTCAGCGTCACATTCACGTGAGGCTTGGGTGGGAGAATGAATGGGAAAGCCAATGCCACTTTCCGAAAAGCATCAAATTCACAGGACAACGTCCCAGAGAAATCGGAGGCTCATGAATGAATAACTCATTTCAAGAAGGGATGGGCGGGCGGGGCGGGGCGTGGCAACTCACGCCTGTAATCCCAGCACTTTGGGAGGCCGAGGCAGGCGGATCACAAGGTCAGGAGTGCAAGACCAGCCTGGCCAACATGGTGAAGCCCCATCTCTACCAAAAATACAAAAACTAGCCACGTGTGGTGGCGGGCACCTGCAATCCCAGCACTGGGAGGCTGAGGTGGGAGGAGGATCACTCAGGAGTGGGAAGAACAGCCGGGGTTGTCCCACAAAGCAACACTTCCCCCACACCGCCCCATCTTCAAAAAAAAAAAAGCTTCCTGCCGGCCTCTGCAGACCTCACCTCCTGGCCTTGCTTGGAGAGGTGGGAGATCCTCTTCTTCTGTCCGGGGAACAGAGTGGTCAGACCCGAAAGCCCCTTCTCCTCACTCTTCTCTTCCTTGGGGGGCTAAGACATGTGTCCATCCCTCAGCACCAGTCCGCCCTCCCTGCCAACACCGATACCGCCCAACCTCAAACCGTCCCCAGCAAGTGGGAAACAGAACAGTCCAGACCCAAGGACAGCGGCTGCTGGCAGGAGGGTGCTCACACCTCACACCTCCCTGCCATCCACTCAGGGCAACCAGTCCCTGGGCTTTGTGTGGGGCAGTTGGGGAGGTGGGGTAGGGGTCACACGTTCTGCAGGCCCCCAAGGCTACCCCTCCTGTGCGCCCAGGGCACCAGCGTGGGCACCGGCGTGGAGAACCCAGGGCCCCAGAGTGAATGAAAGCGCACTGGGAAACTGAGGCCAGCACAGGCCGCACCAGCTGCTGTGGGCTGACGGCTCGGACTCGGTCCGTGTGGGGCGAGCGCCCCCTGGTGGCCAATGTGAAGGCGCAGGGCCAGGAGACCCAGGGGTGCAGGGACGGGCCCCAGAGGAAGCCAGGAGGGAGGGGAGGATAGAGGGGCAGGAGGGGATGAGGGGCCCGGGAGAGCAAGAGCTCCCCAGGCTGGGGGGACTGGAGGGAGGAAGCCAAGGAGTGAGGAGAGGATAGAGGGGCAGGAGAAGATGAGGAGGGGGGTGAGGGGAGGAAACAGAGGGGCTGGAAAAAAGACAGGTCGGGGGAGAAGAGATGGGGAGAGGAGGGGAGGAAGAGGGGCTAGAAGCGGGTGCCTGAGGTGGGTGGGTGGGTGTGCCAATATGCCCCTGCCCCCCTGCCAGTCCATGGGAACAGTCTGTGTGCACGACGCCACAGGAACCTGGCTGGTGGCCAGAGGCCAGTGACCGCTCTGGGTGGGTGAGGGGCAGTAGGACTGCTGGGGGGCTCGGGGGCTCCAGGGCCCCTTAGATTGAAACTGGCTAAGGGACCAGCACCGAGGAGCCGCCTCCACCCCACACCTCTGAACCCCCTGGAGGAACGGAGTGTCCCTCACCAGGCCCTCAGCTGTTACCGACCCGGAGCCCAGGCCGAGCACCCGAGCCTCACCTGCCGGGCCAGCCGGCCTTTGTTCTCCGTTTTGACGCTGGTGGACTCGTTGAAGATCCGCAGGCACTCCTCCATGGGGTCAGAGTCAAAATCCACCTCCTTCTCCAGGGCCGAGTAGTCCACAGCCGCCCCTGTGCTGGAGGAGGAGGAGGAGGAGGAGGACCTTGCGGGGGAGGGGGGCGGGGAGGCCTTGAGCCGCTTGGGCGGCCCTTGTGCCTCCGGGAAGCCCAGGCTGGAATCCGAGTCAGAGTCGGAGTCCGAACTGAGGCCGGGGAGGGTGGGGGGCCACACGCTTGGCACGCTCGGTCCCCCCGGCCCTGTGGCCTCGTCCTCACTCTCGTCCCCAAAGAGGTCAGCGTGGCTCAGGGCCCGCCTCTTCAGCTTGGGGGCGTCCTGGGAGGCACCCTCGTCCAGCGAGCGGGCTTTGCGCTCCACCAGCTTCCCTGAAGGGGCCTTGGCGCCCTTCCTGCCGGGGAGCTGGGGGGCGCCAGGTGGAGCTCTGCTGGCCGCCGGCTGCGAGTCCCCACTTGCGGGGCTTGGTTGCCGAGCTGGCCGGTCAGGCCTCCCTTTCCCTGAGCTGGCCACGAGAGTGGCCGAAGATGGCTTCTTCTTGGTCCCCTCCAGCCGCTCTGCCTTGCGCCGGGGGCTGCTGGCCTGCGGGCCCTTCTTGTCCACGTGGGGCCTCTCCCCCCGCCCTCCACACTTGTCCTTGGTCTTGTCCTTCCTCTGGGCACCGTCTTTACAGCTGGGGGCAGGTGGGGCTCCGCTTTTCTTCCTCTTGGATTTCCCCTCCTTGGGGCGGCCCCCATCCTGCGAGGCCTGGGCTGGGGAGCTGGGCTTGGGTGGGGCCGGCTGGAGGTCCCCCACATCGCACTGCACGGCGGTCTCCCTGGTCTCACGCAGGCTGCCCCCCTCAGCCTCCAGGCTCTCTTTGGAGGGCGGCTGCCCGGAGGCCTTGCTCTCAGGGTCAGCCCCGGCTTTGGGAGTGCTGGCCGTGGCGGGCTCGTCACCGGGGGCCGTGGCAGCCTCATCTTCCGAGTCTGAGAACCTTGCATCACAACTGCCAAAAGGGTCGCAGGGCTTCTTGGGGGCAGGCGTGTAGGGCTCGCTGCCGCGGGGTCCCCGGGGCCGCTTGGCGGCACGCTCGTCCCGGGAGCTGGCCCTGCTGAGGTGCCGGGCGGAGAAGTTGGAAAGCGGGTCGTACTCCAGGTCTGTGGGTGGCCGGGAGTTGTCTATCACGTATTTGCTGCTGGGAATGGGGCGGCTGTGCCGCCGGGGCTGGCTCACGGCCTTGGGGACATACTCCAGGGCACCGCTGCCCCCTCTGCCTCTGCCCTGACCCCTGTCCAAGGACGCCAGCGAGTACTTGCTGCCTGGCTCGGCAGGGGGGGCCAGTGGAGTGGGCTGGTAGCTGGCATTGGGGCTTAACAGGCTGTGGCTGCCGGGGCTGTAGTGGAAGGCCAGGGGGAAGGCGTCGTCATCCAGACCCACGGTGGGGCCGGCATCAGGGCTGCAGGGTGCCAGGGCGGGGGCCTCGGTGGCGCGGTGCTCACGGGCTGTCTCCAGCAGCTCCCGGTAGCGCCGCTGCTCCAGCTCCACCTCACTGCGCACGGCCTCGATGGCCTGGTTGACCAGCTCCAGCTCCAGCACGTCAGGCCGCGGATCCTCCCCCAAGCCGAGGGTGCCATTCTCCGTCTGCGTCGGGGGCTTGGGCAGCTCGGGGTTATAGGGGTCGTAACCCAGCCCTGGAGGGAAGAGAGAGCACAGCTGTGACCAGCCTGCAGGAGACGAGCCCCCCGCGTGGGGGTGGCCTCGGCCTCAAACTTCAGGGAAGGGAAGAGACCCGCCTCCGAAACCCTCTGCACGCTGGTGCCGCCAAGGCTCTAGGGTGCGCAGCTTGGTACAGGCCATGTCACCAGCTCAGGCCCCGGGCGGGCCTGGAGTGTGTGACACACAGCTCCACGGGTTCTGGAGGCATCCTCACATGGCTCACGGAATGCATACAGTGACCGTGGTGGGCAGACACTCAACAGGCTGGGACACCTGGGGCAGGCGGGTGTGGAGCTCCTGGCGTCCAAGGCGCTGGACTGAGGCAGGGGCGGGCTGGGCCGGCAACCACAGCCTGACAGTGGACACAGAAGAGCCCTTCCTCAGCCAACACAGCCCCACCCGCCAGCAATGTGCCAGCCGTGTACCGTGCGCCTGGCGGGGGTGAGCTCGGGGCTCTGTCCCACAGGCTTTCCTGCCTATAGGAACATTCACTGGGCTGTGCCTGTCCTGCAGAAACGGAGGTCACAGCAGTGGCCATGGCTGGGTCGGGCGGGAAGCACACAGACATGCCCAGTCCATGGACCACCCTGTGAAATCGACAGTAAGTCTACTGTGAAGACTGTTTTTTTTCTTTTTGAGACAGAGTCTCTCTGTGTCGCCCAAGCCAGAGGGCAGGAGTGCAACCTTAACTCACTGTAGCCTCCGTCTCCCGGGTTCAAGCAACCCTCCCGCCTCAGCCTCCCAAGTAACCAAGCCCAGCTAATTGTCGTAATTTTCGTAGAGACGGTTTCGCCGCCATGTTGGCCAGTCTGGAACTCCTGACCTCAAGTGATCCACTGCACCTGGCCTACTTTAAATACATTTTTAAATTTTAAAATCTGTTGCAGAGGCGGGATCTCACTATGTTGCCCAGGCTGGCTTTGAACTGCCAGGCTCAAGCAATCCTCCCGTCTCAGCCTCCAAGATAGCTGGGACTACAGGCACAAGCTGCGGAGCCTGGCTTGAAGCACATGGCTGCACTGTCTTCCTGGGGCATCTGGGAACATGTGACTCGCACGTTATTTACGTGGTTATTAACAGGGCGTATTCTAGCAGACCTTCGCAATCTCAGTGCCACCAATGACGGCACAGGAGTCAGAACCACAGGAGGCCCACGTGGCGACAGGCTGGAGGAGTTACAGAAAACACAAGCAGGCCAGGTGCGGTGGCTCACACCTGTAATCCCAGCACTCTGGGAGGCCGAGGTGGGTAGATCACCTGAGATCAGGAGTTTGAGACCAGCCTGGCCAGCATGGAGAAACCCCGTCTCTACTAAAAATACAAAAATAAGCTGGGCGTGGTGGCACATGCCTGTAATTTCAGCTACTCGGGAGGCTGAAGCAGGAGAATCGCTTGAACCCAGAAGATGCAGGCTGCGGTGAGCCGAGATCACGCCATTGCACTCCAGCCTGGGCACCAAGAGTGAACCTCTGTCTCCACAAAAAAAAAAAAGAAAGAAAACAGGAGCAAGTGGAGCCCAATGTTCCAGTGAAGGAATAAAAACTAAGTTCGATTATTTAGTCTAGAAACCTACAGGTTTATCATCAGAAAAGCCACTGAACACGGCCAGGCACAGTGGTTCACACCGGTAACCGCAGCACCTCAGGAGGCCCAGGCAGGAGGGCGGCGTGAGCTCAGGAGTTTAAGACCAACCTGGACAACATGGATCCCATCTCTTTTTTTTCTTTTGAGACGGAGTCTCGCTCTTGTT